TATTTATCACTTTCACGGGTTTATTACGAATCAACTTAACGGCCTGCTCCCAGTTGGCTTGTTAGCTAAATTGGTAGAGCGCTGCACTAGTATCGCAGAGGTCAGTGGTTTGAATCCCGTACAGGCCTGATTTTTTTCAGGTCTGATTTTCGCTATTGCATAAATAGCGCTATCTACTGCGAGGATCGTGCATCATACGTAACTATCATTTAATTTTCATCATTTCACACTTTCAACACCCTTCACCCTTCCTTTCCCCTTCTTAACCCACTATTTTTGTGGAGATTTGGGAACCCTTTCATTAAAAGGTTGCTAGATAAATCTCATGCATTTTTAAAAGTTTTTCTTAAAAAAAAAACAAAACAAAACAAAAAAAGCAGGCAATATCCAACCACATCAACGTGGTAATGTTACTTTACTGGTTCTTTCTGAGCACTATTTCACAGTCAAGAATTCTTGGCAGAACAGGAAGCAACTCATGCACACTTATTGCCTTTTTGGTTAGCAAATTGTTTCATTCATCAAATGTGGATATTTCTGCAATAAGCAGTCCACTGAGTCAGGCATGGGTGTACCAGATAATTGTTCAAGGAATCTCAGGATCTATGATTCAATCACACAAAACTCTCCTCAAACCTTTGGTGTGCTACAACCTCTCCAAGTCCCTAAAGCACTGAACAATATCATCAGCCAAACCACTAGGGGTCCTGAATTCCCTCAACTTTCCTAGGAATTTTTCTTTTTAATGGCACATCAATGAGAACAATGGATTTCATGCAGCTTTTGCTGAGTGGCAGCATTCCAGCATGGGAGCTTCTCTCATGCCATATGGAAATAACTAATTTCCAATACACTCTTAGGACTGTAACGTAAGCTCCAGCAAAAAAGATATGTAACGCAATTTGTAACTTGTGCTATAGCTATGCATGGGGTAACGCGATATTTTGCAGCGTTTTTAAATTGTTCATGAAACACCGTGTGGGATGGGTGTGCTTTCCCTTCGCCTTGATAAAAAGTGCCATTTTTATTCCAGATTCACATTTATTACCAAAGCATGGTATTATTTACCTTCTATCAATTTGAATCTTAGCTTATTATCTAAAATAGACGTAAATTACCCTCAGTGAAATTAAGCCAGCAATGCATGTGTTTCCTTACCGAGTACTGAAATTTGTTGGCTCTTGAGCAAGCAAATAGACATTTCCCAAAAATAATACGTTCAACATGTCGACGAGTTCAGTTTACAGAAGTCATTTTCAAATAGCGTCCTTACATTCCAGTTTGAAAGGCAAAATATATGCACGAATACATAGTTTGAAGAGCGCCGACATTTTGTTGATCAAACGATCGAACAGCTCGCCAACGACAACATCAACATGCTCACGCCACGCAGACGTTTTTTATCCCTGTCTTTTAACGTTTCCAGCAATCTTATTGGTCGAGCGTTCCTTATATGAAGCTATATAAACCGCTCCACGCGGTTTATATAAAATGTTCAAATGAAATGTTAATAAATGTTACTAAAATGTTATGATTTTAGAACTTTCTCCGTTGTCCAGCTTTGAAATTATACTAAAACAATTATTCGCCTCAGATTCGGTGAATATTTAGTAAATAAACCCTTCGGGTTGCTGGTATGTCTGCTGATAATGTCTGCGGCTGAGAAGCGAAGCTTCGAGGGCAAATATGAAATATTGAGGACAATCTCTCAACCAAGGACATTATCAGCCGACNNATATTTGGTACGTGATCAAAACTGAGAATCGAATCGGTCACTTGCATGCCACAGTTTCTTAAGCTTACGCTTTACAATTAAATAAATCTATCAGTGAGCTAAAGGTTTCAGGATTATTTGAGTCGCGTTTTAAGCACGCTGCGAGCCCAGCAGAAAAAGACAATTACAGCTGCTTAGTCTGCAGTTTGGGATAACTTCATTGCAATTAATTATTACAATTACAACAAGAATTTGATTAAAAAATCAATTATTTAACTGTAATTAAGCCTTTCACCCTCAAGAGTGTTCAGTCAAAATTGAGAAGAAATCTCTCAATTTCAACTTGCAGAATCAACAAAAACAAACAACAGAGCATGAAGATGCTGCTTGACAGCTTACATTTAAATTGTAACACACAAGAGTTTTATCCCAAGAAGTTACAACCACATTAAATTAAGTCAAAGCCTGCCTCAGGGAGGAAAGGATAAAATGTTATTTGTATCATCATCCCAAATTAAATGATTCCTTTCAAGACTATTAATTTTTTGACTGATAGTATTTATTGCAATAAACATAACCCAAGTTATTGCATTTCATGAAAAAGAATCAACAGATTTTATTCAAAATTTGTGTCAAACCAAATTTACTGATTCACTAGGACTATTTTAAATGAATAGCTGTAATTGAGGATAATTTTTAGGAAGTTTTCAAGAAAAAAAAAAGAAATTTCATCCTAATATTACTACATGTTGATGTTAATATACAATAGCAAATAAGTAACATGTAAACCTGAGTTAAGCATGTATTATATAAATTTCTTAAAGTTTTAGTTGGGAGTTAATGCATGTATTTATTTGATATTAGTTGCCTTGAAGTTTTCCTAAAATTCTCAGTGATTCTTAAACATTCCTAGAAATTCCTAGAAATTCCTTGGAATTTCCAGCAAGTCTTTAGATTCACAGTATTTCAGAGAAGTCATTGGTGCTCTGAGTTAGAATTCCTAAGAATTCCCAGAAATTCCCTGGAATTCCAAGGTGAATTCCCAGGAATTCCTAGGAATTTCCAGCAATTCATAAGAATTCCAAGTCCTGCTGGCTATGAACGTGGAGTTTTTGGGAATTTCTAGGTTTTTTCGGAATTCCTAGGAATTCCCAATCCGAATTTACTGTGAAAACTCACACCTCTTATTCCCAGTAATTCCTAGGACTTCCTAGGAATTCCTAGGAATTTCTGGGAATTCCAAGATCCATTTCACAATGGTCTTGTTCTACAGTAGTTACATGTAGGCCCTTGACTGGTTCAAATACAAGGCTGTATTTAGGCTCTTGTCCCGCCAGACATTTTTGTACAGGAGAGGTAAAAAAGAGGCATACACTCACCATACTGTATATGAAAAAATAGCTGTGATAGCTAACAACTACATCCTCACACTGTACCTTTTACTGTGATATTGACAGTCTCCTCAGTTGTACCAATAGTGTTATTAGCCACACATCTGTAGCTAAAGCTTCCTTCTTTTAAATCGCTCCTTAATATCCATACCCCAGCTGAGCTGTTTCCATCAATAACTAGTATTCTATTCTCAAACAGTTGATAAGTATGCACGGCAGGTCTACTGTCCGCTGAACAGGTGACATTGATAACATCATCTTCACAGACAGTTGAATCATTCACCAATGGCTTGACAATCTCTGGTTTAACTAGAAAAAGGAAAAAAAAACAATATTTGATCGTGCATTAGTATCAAAGTATGTGACATTGCTATACACCATTAAGTTGAGGGGAAGGGCTGGGCAGCAAACCGTCCATGCATGTCTGTCGTACCCAAGAGTCGAACATTCTTCTGTTAAGTCCACCTTCACATGGGGACTGGTTGCTCCTTCTTTCCTTTCCTTCTTTTTTTTTTTAATTTTGACTGGCAGCTTTTTTGGCTATTTGTAATTTGTAAAACGAAATGAAAAGAAATTAAACTCTTTAATTTGAAAAATAGAAATCTGTAACTTGCAAAATGACACAAATTATGGAATTACAGATTTCCATTTGGCGAATTACAGATTTTAATGTTGTTTCGCTTCTTTTCATTTCACAAATTACAGTTTATTTATTCACCGTGATTCTCACAATGCCCTATGCTAGGCTATAGGGCTTTTTCATGCCCTGCTTGCATTATTACCATCCATTTGAAAATGTGTTTTTTGCTAAAAGTACATACATGGCTATGCCATCGTGAAAAAAGTTCATATATTTCTTTGTGATTGACTTACACCGTTTTTCCTTTTGTGAATTTATTTCTCATTATTTTTACCTACTGTGACAATTATTCCTACAGTCTTTAAAAAAAAAAAAAACAAAGAAAATCACCATACACATCTTCTTAACTTAGCATGGCGTTGGTTTAAGACTTTCATAAATTTCTAAAAATTGATGAAGTTTAGCCGTATGGGAATTAAGATAAAGCTTGGAATAAAACTAAATGATACTGACGTTTATCGAACTTTAGTATTATTTGATTCTAAAAACTGTGATATTAGAAATCAACCATATTGAGGTAAATTTCATAGAATCAAGGCTGAACCAAATTATTCGGTGCATTGTATCGCTTGACTTGCTTAAACTGTAATTAGAACTGAACTAGATATCTTCTTTGGATCCCGGCCTCTCGTGTTACTTACAATGCATTATTCTTAGTGTATGCTCTGATCAGCGAAAGGAAGGTAACATTTGCTTGTTTTACTGTAATGTTCCCTTCCAACCTTCCTTGGTAATATGGATGTACATATATACGTCTTATATATGACGATCTGATAATAAGGTGTGTACTCAAAACGAAAAACAACAGCACCCCAACCAAACATGAAGGTAATCGCTGAACGTTAGTCGCTTCCTTTCATACCGCTGTATTTTTCGCATTCTTTTAAGGTAACTTACATGGAAAACAAATAATAAAATCGCAGTTGCTTTCTATGCTTACATTGCACTGTTATTTTTATCGTGCTAGAATTCTTCTTTCGATCTTCGCGTTCTACTTTCAAAATATAATTCCCAGTGTCTGCTCTGGTCAGCGAGAGGAAAGTAACATTTGCTTGTGTGGCTGTAATGTTTGCTTCTACCCTGCCTTGGTAATCTGTGTGTATGAAGGTGGCCTCTGATTTGAAACGATCTGCAATATCTGTTGCCTCAGGTATCGCTGACAGATCGAACTCAGCTGAACGAAACGCTCCACCAAGATTGTAGTTCCATTGCAGGAATAAACCACTACCTTCCACTACATAGGATGTAGATGGAG